CTCTGCTTCTTTCAATACCTTCGACGTCGTCGTTATAGGCGCCAGAATCATCGGATTGACGATCGCTCGACAGCTCTTGACTAGCTCCAATCTCTCCGTCGCCGTCGTAGATAAGGCTATTCCGTGCTCCGGTGCTACCGGCGCAGGTAATCACTTTCAGATTATTGAATTTTAATTTTATTCTTTAACAACTGAGTGTCAATCACTTTCATTCATCTGACTGTTAAGAGTTAACTCAGTCAGCACTTCTCTGGTCTCCTCCCACAGTCGTTCTTCTTCCCACAGTCCCAAAGCTAAAACCGCTCCGCTGCCATCTGTTCATTTTTCAAACGCACTATCCCAAACAAAAATGGCTTCTCCGGCGCTATCGCTCCCCCGTTCGTGGACTTGTTCTTCTCCCCAATACCGCGATGTCGCTTCTCTTCCACGCTCCCGCCGCGGTTCACTTGCCTTCCCCAACGGCTATAACACAGAATCCGCCTTCTTCGGCTCCAAACTCCCCGCCAAATAGCTTTCCTGCTCACCGGCGACACATCGATGTCGCGGCCGGGCTCTCCGATTCAGCCCCACCGCCTCTGCTTCTTTCCACACCTTCGACGTCGTCGTTATAGGCGCCGGAATCATCGGATTGACGATCGCTCGACAGCTCTTGACTAGCTCCGATCTCTCCGTCGCCGTCGTAGATAAGGCTGTTCCGTGCTCCGGCTCTACAACAACTCTCTCACCGGCGCTCTGCCCCAGGGCTTCTCCAATCTCACGACCTTGAGGCGTTTCGACGCCTCCATGAACGACTTGACCGGGACCATTCCCGACGAGCTCTGTGGGCTGGACCTCGAGTCGCTCAATTTGTTCGAGAATCGGATTCAAGGGAGCCTGCCCGAGAGTATAGCCAGCTCCCCCAACTTGTACGAGCTCAAGCTCTTCAATAAACAGATGAACGGGAACTCTGCCCTTTTCAATTTGTAATTAAAATATTTTTTTGTTTTATTTATTTTACTTTAATGTAAAAATGAGTTGGAAATAGTAGAAGATTAAAATTTATTTTATTTATTATTTTTTAATTGCCACGTCACTGAGTTAACGGTCAACTTTGAGGGTTGACTGCCACATCAGACAAATTTAACGGAGTTGAACGGAGAGTGACCAAGCTTGAACCATTTAACTAATTTGAGTGACCAAGATTGGATTTAAATATTTATAGTGACCAAACATGAACGTTTTTTGTAATCTCAGTGACCAACCATGCAATTAACCCATTTATTTCGGTATGAGCCAAATGGTTGTTACATATTTCAAACACGTACGTATTTGTGTACTGAATTAGGGTTGTACTCATAAGGAGATTGATTAGTTGTTTTAGTGACAGACTTGAAACCTGCATGCAAGTCAACGCTATATTTTTGAGGGACGTCTTCGTTGTATCATCGTGTCTTACAAGCCCATAAATTCATGTTTTAGTCCAAGAACCCGTAATTATGTCTTTCTTTGATTTCTAGAGGTCCTCTCTTGCTCCATTTCGACCAAATGATTTTTATATTCCAAAAGAGATGACCCCTAAATAGAGGGGATGTGGTTATTGAGATAAGATACTGTTGACGCTGACATTGGGGGGTACAAGTGAGTTTTGCGATAAGGAATGTTAACGTGGTTGTTTATCCTGCACGTGGCAAGAAAGACTTTGTATTTATTTTCTTCGAGGTTTGTTGATTTTGATTTATGCAGTTATTAATGTTCATTGCAATATCGATGTTTGGTTCTGCAATTGGTTGACATGCTGTATCGTTTAAGTGTCTCGAGGAGAAGAAAAAAACATATCTCGGGCCTTTTTAGGAGCTGGGGGAGTACCTCAACATAAATGGAAAAACACATACAAACAACCGTCAACAATACAACAATTGGAGAAGAAAATTATCATAAACTAATGCAAATCTTTGTTTTATTCATTCAACAACAATCCATGTGAATGGTACACAAAAAAGAGAAGTCAATCCATAATTCAGCAAACTATCGTCATACACTATTTTATGACTAGTCAAATTGCTGGGTTACCCAAGTACGGTCCGACGACTGACCGTTGAAAACCTGGCCAATTTTGTTTGTTTGGGCTTTAATCTAACTAGTTTTTTGGCCCGCGCTCCGCCGCGGTAAGAGCTAATAGTTTAGTTGAAATCAAATAATTTTACAAAATTATTCAGATAAGATACTTACGCAAGTTTAAAGTAGTGTATTAATCATTACGAAAAACATACATAATCCGTTTGTTTAAGTGAAATATAATAAATAATTATCCCTACATAAGGATTACGTAGTGTTGAATCATTATGTAAGACTTATATAATTTTTTTGTTTAATTGATACATACAAAACAGTTATCTGCTCATAATATTTATGTAGTGTCTTAATTATTATGGAATGCTGATTAATATATTTGCTTACATAAAAGCTGTCCCGCTATAAATTTTAGTTTATGTAGTCTCTATAAATTTTATGAATGAATTTTATAATTCTTGTGACTGTTATATAGAACATTTTTTATGAAAATCTTTCATAATGTGTGGCTAATAATAAATTTAAATTTAGAAAATAACACATGATTTTAAACTGTTATGTCAAAGTCAACTAATCTTGCAGAACCTTTTCATAATGCGTATTAATAACATGTTAAATATTTTAAATTTTTAATTAAAAAAATTGAATTTTGGTTAATAATGAGGAATAATTTAATATGGTTCCTATTATTTAGGAGAAAATTAGTTACCGTAATATTGATCATACCTTATCATAAAATTGGTTGTTACTACGGAAAGAAAAAAGTTTTTTTGTAATAAATAGTAAAAAGTGCTTGTGCTTTTTATATATATATATATATGGTCTAATAATAAAATCAAATTTTAGAAAGTAACTGTTATGTCAAAGTTAACTAACTTTGTAAAACCTTTGCATAATGCAAATTGATGACATGATAAATATCTTAGTTAACAATTGTTTATGTAACTGCTATAGAATGTATACATAAATCTTTCATAATGTGTGATCTAATAATAAAATCAGGTTTAAAAAGGAACTTATGAATATGATTAAACTTTCATAATAAAGTCAACTAACCTTACAGAACCTTTTCATAATGCGTATTGATGACATGTTTAAACGATAAGAAATAACTATCCCCGTAAGTTTTACATAATGCATTTTATTCTGATACATAAGAAATAATTATCTCTATAATCTAACATTAAAATCAAACTACAATAAATATCACATTTTATTAAACTATTATGTAAAAGTTAATTTACCTTATATAATATTTTTGTAATGCAAATTGATGAGATGGTGAATATTGTAGTTAATAATAAAGAAATTAAGTTATAAAAAGAATCACATTTGCTAATTTATTATGTAAAAAATAACTGACTTTGCTAAACTTTTGTGCAATGGAAAAATGAGATGGTCAACCATTAAGTTAACAATAAATGAATCTTTCTTAAGATTGACGTAGTGTCTTAATTGTTACGTAAATTATCTGTGGTATGAAATAATTTTAAGGAGATAAAAATATATATACACATGACTATGCGGAAAAAGGCTTCGTAAAATTGGGTAAATTATATGTGATCTAGCATACGCTATACGACTGCGTTCACACCTATTATTAGTACTTTGATAATTTCGAAGGATCATTATCGTTGATTTTCATTTTGAGAGTAAATGGATCGTATGGTTTGGTAAGAGAATTAAGGATTGGATAGAGAATTAAGGATTGGGGTTCACTCGTTAGAAGTTAGGGTATAGTATCATGCTCCAAACATCGATTAATTCATGGTTTAAATAACAAAACTCAATGGGTGTACGATAAGATAAGCGGATGCTAACCATGGTACATGGAAAGAACCCCAACAATAAAAATATTTTTGTGCAAGTGAATTATTGTTAAAAGAAAGGTTGCATTGGACCCGGTTGCATGCGATATGGAGCCCTCGTGAACAGTGTTCCGGGAAAATTGTTGGGGAGCCGTGGAGAAGCTTGCCACACTAACCATAATTAGAGTTTCATTGCTTTGCGATAATATCGTGATGAACAGTAACAAAACTTATGCTATTAATTAATTATTATTATATAATAATAATAATAAGGGTAAATACAATATATTATCCATAACTATTAAGTAGCGGGGAATTATAGCCACAATTATCGAAATACAAATTATTAGCCATAACTATTGTTGTGGGTCAAGATTTGGCTAACAGCCCGTTACTGTTTTCACATTTTTAACGTAGAAGGCCATGTCAGCATCGTAAAAAATATGATATGATGACTGCCACGTGGGAGCCAGCTCACCATCGTAAAAGTTTAGTCATCATTACTAACAGAAGTGTTAACGAAAACTTAACGATTGGCTAATAATTTGTATTTCGATAGTTGTGGCTATAATTCCCCGCTGCTTGATAGTTATGGCTAATATATTGTATTTGCCCTAATAATAATGTGTGTTGACTTGACTTGTGTGTGAACATCAGTACATTTGTACATGCGACTTCCCCGTGCAATGAAGGTCAATGGCGGAATAGGCGAAACATACACATATAGTCGACATTTACTTATCACGAGACACATCTAGTTTTTGGTAAAAATATAATGAACCTCTACGTATACGTATATACGACAATAAATTCTACACCTCTGAGCTAATACAATAATATTTTGTCATATACGTTTATTACTGATCACACGTCACAACAGAAAACATAAGTGTACGTATGTTTATGTGTATTTAGTGTATTAAACTAAGTTGTCCAATCTAATCGCAGTACCCTGCAATATATAATGAATATCCCATGATCAACGGTGGAGATGATCAGTTGGTAACTATTGGGATCCTCAATAGAATTCGGACGAAATTATTGCAACGCTTTAATTGGTCGTTGTCTTATATGAAAGTGAAGGTACAATTATTATTAAGTAAAAATCATGCACATCACATGGCCGGTGTCACTGTTAATCCACTTTATTAAATCATATCAATGGGGACGCCTAATCCCAATAGACGACTTGTCCTCCATATATATAATTAGGTTATTATGGTGGTAAGAGATCAAACTAAAGAAGAAGGAAACAAACAAGGAAAGAAAATGGCGAGTCTAGTCCGAGGTATCAAGTCAGGATTCCTGAGCGTCGTCGGGGCTCTCAAGTGCGGCGGCCGACCAGCCACCGTCGAAGCACCGGCCATCTCGCCGGCTACAGCAGCTGCCGGTAACAATCAAACAAACGAAACAAATTAATTAATTTTTTTTTCTTCGTTTTGTTTTAATTTACTCTTTTTGTTTTATGATTTACCCCGGCAGCAGCTGGGAAACAGCTTGATGGAGAAGTGGTTCAAGTGGAAGAAGCTCATGCGAAGGTCCTGTTCGTGGGAGGAGCGAGTGAGGATCTTTATGTCGGAGAAGCAGAGTTCGACTCCGTCCAGGTCTGTATACCTCGTACTAATAACTTGGATATTTCAGTTTATTACATGTAGGGCTGGAGGTTCGGTTAGCGGTTGCCGGTTAACTGGCCGGTTAACCGATAACCGGCGGTTACTGGTTAACCGAGTAACCGAAAAAATAGGTGGCGGGCGGTGTTCGGTAGGCATATTGGCTGTGGCGGTTAACCGGCTAACCGACGAATCTAACTGTCGGTTAACCGGCTAACCGACACAGCCAATTTCCCTTGACACAAAATGACGCCGCCCCTCCACTCTTCAACATTTCAGACTTTCAACGACCCCTAACCCTAATTCCCCTTCTTCCGCCCTCCGACTTCGTCCTTCTCCTTCCTTCCCCAACCCCAATTCGCCTTCCCTTCGTCTGTACAACACCGGTGACGAATTCAATCCCTCCTGCTAAAGCAGTGAATCGCGCCAAAACTGATCCCGAAGAATCCCAACCAGACGGCGCCGACGGCACGCTCGAGAACAGCAGCAGCGATGTACTGTCCAAGGGCTTATCGACGATTCTCTCAAACGTGATAAGGGACTTAGTCCTTCTCCCCCTGCTCGGCTGCTCCGCCATCTCCTCCTCGGCCAGCTTCCCGACTGGCCGCCACCCGCCAGCCACACAGTCCCCCGCCGGCCGCCGTTGTTTCTCCGCCACCAGAGAAGGGAAGGCGGTTACAACCGACACTGTCTGGGCTTGTGCGGTTTCCTCGGCTAACTGACCGGTCGGTTGTCGAATAACCGAGGAAGGTGGTCGGTCGGTTGGCGGTATGGTTTCCTTGCGTCGCGGTTAACCGGTAAGCGACCTTTCGGTTATCGGTTATAACCAAAAAAACCGAACCTCCAGCCCTAATTACATGGCAATTATAATCCAATTACCCGATCGCCTCCCACCCAGTTAACACAGGAAATTCTCGTATTAACTGAATATAAAATGGTTATAGGCAAAATTCGCAAAACAAAATTGATAGTACAGACGGGTCGAATATGGTTTTAGACTCCCGGACCCGGATATACATACCTACCTCACAAAGGTTATCTCTATATATAATGACTAGGTGCTAATAATAGCTATTGTCTTATGGACTTATAACGTTTCTATGATTGGATGATTTCAATTTGAATTAACAATGATTGTATAATCATTGTTGACTTTATGATTTGTTAGTTGTATATTTGATGTTATAACTAAAAATATACGTGTTTAATAAGTTTTGTTGTATTAATTATATTCATAATAATATTGGATATACGGGTGGTATTACCTGCATGTTACATGTATGGAATCGAGTTGCGAACCTCTTTGTATGGAAAGAGCAAGCACAAGTTTGAATTTACGAACAAGGGTTTGGCCTATTAATACCACTTAACTAGAACATGGAGATCCCAGTTTCAAATTCATAAAGTAGTACCTTAATCACAAAAAAATAAAAACCTATATCACATTATTCACACACACAAAAAAAAAAGACAAGTTTGAATATTTGTAAATAGAGATGAGGATGGTTTAGCGAAATCCGCCCCAAACCTGCCCATTGCCATTCATATCCTTTGAATGATCAACCTTCGCATCAGTTAAGGTTAATTAGAGCGTCATAATTTCCTAATTGTTATTGAATTGGGCTATTTGCGATCTCACAATTGTTACATGTATTCTTATGATGATAGATGCTATTATGAAGTTAACTTGTATGAATGCCATGCTTGTGTTTAGTAAACTGAAATCAGATGTGTTTCGAGAGTACATGCAAGTATTTCTTTTCAATAATAATTTTGAGCTACTAAGATGAATGTTCGTACCAATGAAATGAAATGATGTTACTATATCATTTGCGTACTAATGAAATTAACCTAGCTAGCCAACTTCTACTGTATATAAGCACTCTCCCTTATCTTATTTAACTGAAATTGTATTGATGGCAGTGCAATCTTTATTAATGGCACGCATGCAGGTAATGAGAGTCGTGGAGAATAGAGACGTTGGAGGAGCGCCCATCGGTTCCCAACCCGGAACCGGTTAGATCGATCCGGTCGATGACCCTTCCTTTCTTTTCCCCTCCCGACTTCTTCCTTTTCTAATGTAATAATAGTTTACATTTTACAATCATGTATAGTAGCCGTTTACAATAATGTAATAATATAGGTAATGTTTGTTGACTTTGGATGTCTCTATTGATGATCAATGAAATAACGTGAATTGAAATTAAAAATCACGAGTTCCAATTGAAACTCGAAGATCCATATATGTGGTCATCCTATATATTGTGGGTTACAAGTGCTGAACCTATATATAATTATGGCACCACTTAAAGTGGTCAATATACGTATTAGCGAGGCGGTGCTATTTAGATAATGAATTTATTGCGAGATATAATTAGGGGTGAAACTGGGCCAAACCCAGCCCTGACCCTGTCACTACCCAAAAAAACCCAGCCCTGTATGCTCAAATATTTGGCCCGACCCGGCCCGACCCTATTCTCATTTGGCCCTGTATGGCCCTGTTGGGTCGGGCTGGGCTGGGTCGGGCCGGGCCATAGGGTCGGCCCAACTTCTTTTTATACAATATCAGCCCACTTAATTATTTAATATCAAATTAAATTTCAAAAAATTACAGGTATATACTAGAAAATTTAAATGAGTTCATAACAAAAATAGTCTAAATTAAATAAAGAAATTATTTAAACTAATTCAAAAAATAAAAGTTTGATTACAAAAATTCCAACTAATTCCATAAAATTTAAGTTAGTCCAAATTCCTATACCAAAAATCCTAATTAATTAAAAAACTCAAAATTAATTCTAAAAAATTAAAATTACATCTAAATAGTCTAAATCACCTTACGATAAATCCAAATCAAATAAAAAAAATGCAAATTACATCTAATAAGTCTAAATTATCTTACGATAAATCCAAATAAAATAAACAAAATGCAAATTACATCTACAAAGTCAAAATTACCTTACAATAAATCCAAATCAAATAAACAAAATGCAAAGTACGTAAAAAAAAAGTACACAATTTCGCAATTCATCAAATACATAGCTGATAATATCAAATATATCATCTTTCAATCATCATCAACCAAATCACTCATGATAGTACTATCATCCAAGCAAAACTCCTTTAACTCTGCAAAATTAACAAAACCACAAATAAATTAATAATAGTATAAACAAATGATAAAGTGTTAAAACCACATTGTTGATAAAATTCATACCTTGCTCAAGTTCTTCAATTTCCTCAAACTTCTCTTCCATATCAATTGGAAGAGTACTCGATCGAAGCCAATTCTGACCACAAATCAAACTTTCAACGACCAAGGGAGTCAAAGAACTCCGAAATGCATCTAGAACGCGTCCACCGGTACTGAAAGCGGACTCGGATGCAACAGTAGATACTGGAATCGCCAACACATCTTTAGCCATCAAACCCAATATCGGGTACTCACTAGAGTGCTTCTTCCACCACACTAAGATATCAAAATTCTTATCCTCATCATCCTCAATGGGATCTGGTTTCAGGACAGATTCTATGCTTTGAGTGTGGAAGGCACGCTCGCTGTTGTAGAAGAAGATGTGAACTCCGATCTGCGGATTACGAAATTGGGCAAGGAGAGAGTGGTTCCTGATTCAGATCTGGCCGCTACGCCGGGGTTCAGGGAGTGTTTGGTGGAATCAGAAGGGAAAGTAGTGCTGGTTTTTCTGTGTTCGACTAGATCTATGGAGACGGTGGATCGTGTGGAGGTTTACAGGCTAGAATTGAAGGAGCTGGCGTGGGTTAGGGCGAGGAGCAGCGTTGTTTCTGGGCTCCAATGCTAATTACACACTAATTACACACTAAGATACGAAAAGTGAGTATGCATCATGATAGTCAAAGGACATATAACAAATATTTAGCACTCCAAAATGACTGATAATACCAACTAAACACAGCAGAAGAACCGGCATTCTAAAATCATATTGGAAAAATAGGGTAACTTAAAAGATAGAGCAATCACCTTGAGAAAGCCAGCTCCAGCAAGAGGAATCAGCTGCAATTAAACTCCTACAAATTCATATAGACCAACTTTTATTAGAGAATGATGATGAAGTCATCATATATAAATGAGTAAAAGCCAGTACAAAGTGCAAAAAATCAATCAATCAATATGAGTAAAAGCTTCATAAACAAGCATTCAACGACTCTCTACATGCTCGAACGACAAGAACCCAACTCACCGGAACGCTAACCTTGTTGCTGGAATCTTACTTTGCTCTTCTCAAGTCTTGTTAATTACTTCGTATCTGTGGGTGAATCATCACACCTGCACATAACAACACTAAACAAAAAGAAACAAGACAAGCAAATGAGCATCCACATAAGCTGTGTCTTCGTCTACTGTGAGATAAAAAGAACCCATATAAAAGACATGAAAATGCTCTGTTTTGGCTGCGTGCTTCCCTGTCCTGCCTAATTTGTGCAATTATATGAACAGGGGATATGTGGCTTTGCAATTATATTAACATCCCAATTGGCCCACCTTCTTTCCAGGATTGTCAGGTCGATCGTAGTGCCTGCCTGCAATTGTGATTTGTGATGGGTTCTTGGCGTCCTCTGCGAATCAATGAACAAATTAGGGTTTATAAACTAAAATCAGTGAAATACATGGTGGAAAGCCTGCAGCGACCAAGATGAAAAAAATGCGTAGATCGAGAAATCACACCAGTAAGGCCGAGGGAGAGCTTGGTGACGATGGTCTCTGCTGTTTCAGATTTACTTTTGCAGAAATCGTCGGCAATGGCGACGCCGACCGGGGAAGGGATTAAAAACGCCGTCAGTCGCCTGTCGCCTTGCGAGTGCGAGGAAAGAAGAGATGGGCCGAAATGGTTAGGGTAATAAGGGACTTAGGGTTAAAATGGGTCAAAAATGGGTCTGAATGGGTTTTAAGGGTAAAACCCAAAAATACCCTACCCTCTAGGGTCAGAATGTGACCCGGCCCTATTTTGGCCCTAAAAACTAATTGACCCTACCCGACCCACAGGGCCGGGCCGGGCCGGGCCGGGCTGACGGGTAGTAAGGGCCACAGTTACAGCCCTAGATATAATACTATATGCTCTATTTTCTAACGGCTAAAAACTATACCATAAATTTCTAAACTCTCGTATTAGTTAATTATTGAAACAGAACAATTGGAAAGTTTGGTTCCTCTAAATATTCCTAACAACTTGATTAATACCAGAACCATTTTTAGTATGATTTGATGTTGTTGTGTTTTCATTAGTGTTGTGGGTTGTGTCTCTTATGAATATTCCTAACAACTCGAAATATTCTTTTTTTTCGTTGAATCAGTTACCCCTTTATATTAAGTATGAATTGCCAAATCAGCAATTCAAGATACAACGAAAACAGGGATGCCAAAGCAGCATCCCCAAGCAAGAGAAAAGACCCTGACAGCAACTAAAAAACCCAGCAGTCCCAATACATCACTACCACAACTACTGCAGTCCTAATATGTGTAAATCCCTCAACATTATCTCCCTAATTACATTAACCTCCCGCGGAGCCTCATCGTGGAATCTTCTGCAGCGTTCTTGCCAAATATAAGTGACAAATAGACACCATTTAACATTAATCCCTCGCTGTGGATCACGCTGCACGGCTGCACAGAGGGCCTGCACAGTCTCCTCCCAAGAACCTCGGGCCAAACCATCCTGCAAAAACCTCTGCATCAACAGACGAGTATACTCACAAGCAACAAACAGGTGATCTCTTGTTTCACTTGCCATGCCACAAAGAACACACTTGTCCTCACTCACCTTCCCCCAACGCAACAGTTTACTTTTCGTAGTAATGCCATCAAGTGAAACCAGCCAGGCAATAAAACTAAAACGAGGCACATGATTTGGCCCCCAGACTAACTTATACCACTCCACAGCGCTGCTTTTTGGACGTAGAGTATCCCAGAACCGCTTTACCGAGTATTTTTCCATAGGTTTTCCATCCCACCAGGCACAATCTCCCTGCCTGCTAAGAAAAGACTGCACCTGTGAGCGTTTCTTCAGAATTCTCCGCCAAGCCCAGGAGCTATTAGTGTTCTCCTTCATGGTCCAGATATCTCCAGTCTTGCAGCGATATCGTAGCATCCAAGCAACCCAAATAGCACCTGATTTCATCATCAATAACCACAACAAACGTAGAGAACAAGCTGTATTCCAGGAGCTAAAATCCCGGATCCCCAACCCACCTTCTTTCTTAGGCCTGGCCACCCTTTCCCAAGCAATTTTCGCTCTTCCTGTCTCACTGCCATGCCATAAAAAGTCCATACAAATCTTCTGAACCCTCTTCAAGATCTTCTTAGGCAATATAAAAACCTGCAACCAGTATTGAAGCAGACCTGTCACCACCGAATTGATCAATTGCAATCTGCCCGCAAATGTAAGTGTTTTTGCTCTCCACGACCTAACTTTCTTGGTGATTGCTGATGCCAATGCCTCACAATCCCTATCAGTCAACTTCCCTGAGATGAGGGGCAATCCCAGGTACTTTACAGGTAAACAGCCCTCAGCAAACCCTGATAATTCCAGAGCATTTTGCTTATATTTAACTGATTCCCCACCAAAAAATACTGAGCACTTTGCTGGATTACACTTTAAACCCGATTGCCAATAGAACTGTTCTAGCACCTGCTTCACTGCCAATATAGCCCTAGCTGATCCCACTGTGAAGATCAACAAATCGTCGGCAAAACAAAGATGATTCAAGGAAATTTTGCTACACAATGGATGGAAAGGGATCAGACCCTGCTCTGAGGCTTTAATGAGCATACCCGAGAGACCTTCCATTGCTAATGCAAACAGATAGGGGGAGAGAGGGTCCCCCTGCCTCACCCCCTTTTTAGCACAAAAGAATCCCTTCATTCCACCATTAACTCAAAATATTCACATAGTACCTTTTTTAACGGAATTATTCCCAAAACTGTTAGAAACTAAAAAAAAAAAAAGATAGGTAGAATAAGCTCGAAAGTCGCTTAAAGTAATTTCACTTATTCGTACTAATTTATGGTGTATTGTCGATTCATATTGCCACAACAAGCTAAGCCATGCAATTAACCAGAACTAAAATCTATACTACATGCTAACTAAGAATATGATATTGTGTCATACTTGCACTATCTGGATGCCACTCAGTTTTAATTTTTGATCCACCCAACAAATTATGAAACTGTGTTGCTGCCTGCTGGTCTCTATGCTTTTGGTCAAGTGATTTGCGTAATTGGGGTTTGGTTTGACTAGTCAAATTGCCGGGTTACCGAAGTACGATTCGGACGAGTAATCGTCGAAGACTTGGTCAACCTTTTTTGTTGTTCATATTCAGTAGCTTCTTCATCATCCATAAATTCTTCTTTAGCACCCTCTGTTTCCTCATCATACCCAATCACTTCATCATCTGTATCATCTGGATTATCCATAGATCCTCCTCGAGCATTCTTAGGTTTCTCGTCGAAGTTAATCTCGTCAGCATCTCTATCATCTCTATTATCCATCCTGCAATCATCGGAATATGAATTGTATGTTAAATATATTCAAAATTAGGTCTCGTCAGGTCGACCTGGATCAACTGTACGGTCGACCTTATCACCAAATTACACAGCTGAGGTCGACCTAGATCCACTGTATGGTCGACCTTATCACAGAATTACACAGATAAGGTCGACCGTAAGGTTGAGCTGGTCGACCTAATTAGGGAAAAAGTGAACCACAGAGAACCGTTAACCAGCACACACGACACATCGACACATACCTTAGCAAACAAGGTCGACCAATTAGTCATAAGGTTGAGCGGAGTAAGAATAAATCGCCACCAACACACGATTATAATAAGAGCGATGAGATTACAACCTCACTCCAACAAATTGCATAAATCAAAGTACGAATAAAGTCTTAAGACTTCCATCTATTTATAGAGAATGTAGACAAATTCCTTATCCTTACTAGTATGGGGAACACTTATCCTAATTGATAAAGGATACATAAAATCATAATTCGACAAGAACAAGTACGCAAAATCCTAATTGGACAAGGAGTAGTAAGTAATAAGCAAATTCGACCCGTTTAGGTCGACCTCTTTACACGAATGGTTGACCGTTTTTATAAAGTCGAAACAGACAGGACTCCATCCTTATTCCACATTGTTTAGGATCTAAGTAAAGGTATCATAGGTCGACCTTAAGCATAGGAGGTCGACCTGTGCTCTGCCTACGGGGTTGACCGCTTTGATTATGTGGTCGACCACTTGTTCTAGACGATTGAAATCGTAAATTCCTTGACATCCATAATTGTATAACAAATCTAATAAACGAAAAACATTCAATATCCAAAAGAAAACAAACTCGCAAATATAAATTCAACGTATTGTCTAAATAATGCAACATTGTAACTTAATGACTTCATTTCTTTGCTTTTTTGTTTGAACTCTTTCTCTCTTTTCCTCGTTCCATGCATTCATCTACTACATACCACGCCATCATCCATCAACTTGTTACGAATTTGTTCAGTCTTCATGTTAGCCGTACAATTTTATGCACCATATTTTAGTTGGGATTAATTGATATGGTACAATATTAGTGACTAGGTTATGACAAATAAATAAATATTACGGCTCTTACTGAAAATATATTTGGCAAATACGAAACATTTGGCTCTTTCACATCATGTTTTTCAAACATTGTTAGTGCCCTTGCACACAAATCCACTACCTACCAACCAACAATCAACCACAAAATCCACATAAATCGTAACATAGATATTGCACAATTCATACGAAATTCGTAGCAGTATAG